TTTGGGCATCTAGGAGGGTAAGATCTATGTTCATCTTGTGTTTTTAGTGTTTTCTTATGTGTCTTTTCTTAAAGATAGAATCTTTATGATCTTTTGGTGTGTTCTTGAAGTGGGTTTGGAAGGTGAGCTTTGTTAGGAGCTTGGTGAGGTATTAAGTGAAGGTTTTTGTCTACAAGAGGTAACCCATGCTCTACAAAATCTATTTTGTTTACCTATTTGATGATTATTGGATTCTACATGTTATTTTGCTATGAAATGTGAGTGTTTATGCATTATCTTGTGAAAATGCATATCTAGAGCTTGTGTTTAGGGTTCTTTTATGCCATTTCTTGGCTATTCCTTTGATTCAAGTCATTTTATTGTATTTGGTGAGATTTTGCATATTTTGGACTTGAATTTGAGTTTGGTGTGAAAAATCCCCGAAGGGATGTTGTGGTGTACAGGTATGTACCCGCTGGCGGAACGGCGGGTAGGGGTCCACCCGTCGCCCATCCGCGGGGTACATGGTGCTTGTGGGTAATGTACCCGCGGGCGGAACCGCGGGTAGGGGCCTACCCATGGGTCCACCCGCGGGGTACAATGTATGGTTGGTTGGGGATTTGTTCCCCGTGATTCTTTTGACTCGGTATTTGGTCTTTTGACTTCCCGATGTTCTTTTGTGGAACTATTTGAGCGTCTTCTTGATGTTTCGTATGTCTAGAACTATATGGTAGGAATCCATGTAGGTTTTGGTGTCTTGAATCATGCTAAGTGTTCAACATTGTGTTTCGTTGAACCGTGATGAGTCTTGTCTGTTCTTCGGAACTATGTTTGGTTTACCCGTTTGATGAGCATGCTAGTTCGGTGTTTAAATGCTAGCGTGTGTGTTGTTTGCACCTTCTTATTGGTTGATGATAACTTGTGTTATTCATCGTTGTTGTTGTTGGGTTGTGACCCATTCCTTGATTGAGTATGGTTTCATATTTTCGTTGTGATCCGTTGATTGATTCCTGTTGTGGTGTTATGTGTGTGTGGCTTTACCTGGATTGCACGATTAGTGGTATGGGACACTAGTCACCAAGGTATCGCAGTGGTCCTCGTGGTGGCCATGATGTGATTATGGAGTTGTGACCTTTGTGTAAGGTTCACGTATTTCTTGGGTGGCATGTGTTGCCGTGTGTGTGATCGGTACCCTCGTGTACTATGAAATCGGTGGTTCTATTGGAGGGACTGTTGGAGGGGGAACGACGATTCCCAGAGGAATAAGGTTGGACTTGGTGTACAGGGGTCCTGGAGGTAAAGGTTGGAACTAGACATAAGGTTGGGGGTAGCCATAAGGTTGGAACCGGGCATAAGGAAGGCATATCAACTCGTGATGGGTGATGTCACGAGGGCTTGTGTAGCCGTTGTTGTGAGTTCTCTTCTTGTGACGTGTGTAGTCACAAAGGCATGTGTTGCCTTGTCATGTGTTGTCGTTGGGTGCGTCCTTATTCATTTGAGTTATGCATGTCGGGTATTAATCTATTATGTGATGATAGATTATGCCTTGAGAGTTTTTGTGAGTCGTTGTCGTTCCTTGTAATCTTGGGATGTGTTCCCGTGTTCTTGTTAAGAGTGTTTGAGTCTTGTGTTGACTATTACTCTTGGTTTTGAACTTATATATATGTATTCCGTTTCAAAAATGGCTTTACAAACTTATATCTTATCTATGTATGATATTTCACATGTATTGGTGGGTTACAAACTTATATATATGTATTGCGTCGTCCCATGTTTTATATGATTCTTTCAGGTGATGCTTAGACGAGTGCGCGGTTTAGTGCCAGCTAGTGTAGCTCCTCTCTTATGTTTTGTGGCCTGTGAACCAATTTAGACTTAGTACTTTGTCATGTTGGTTTTAGATGTTGAACAATGCAGATGTAGCCTGTGCGTTCACCTCTGGGTGAGCGTGGCATAGCACCCCATTTCTTCCAGTTTATATATTTCATCTTTCAGTCTTCCGCTGTGTTTGATGTTTTGGTTTAGATATCTGCATGTTTTAAGGCTTTAAATAGCGTGGAATTTAGGGGGTGTTACAGTTGGTATCAGAGCCTAGGTTTGAGCCTAGGAGGGTAAAGTCTAGACTTCTAAGTGGCTAAGTGTGGTTTGAGACCTTAAGGTGACCTTAAGAATCTAAGTGTTAGGCTTAGGACTTTAGGACGCGTGGTGAGGTTGTGAGTTCTTGTGTTGTTTTCTGTTGTGTTTTATGTGCTTGTTTTCCTTTTAGCTTTAGTTCTCTTTAGTTAAGGCACCAGGTAAGGGTGCGGGCCCTAAGTTTCCTCCCGTTATCGTGCTGTTGCTATAGAAGTCGAGGATGGCACCATCGAATGAGTCCCTCAAGTGGTGTGTAGGGCTTTGATCAGCTACGACCCACCGACTACGCTCGTCAAGCGGTGTGTAGGGTCGCAGTCCCCAAAAGAGGATCACAGTCCACCGACTGAGCATGTAAGCGGTGTGTAGGGCTGTGATCCTCCGTTGAAACTATCGACGGTCTATACAGTTGGCTGCGGTTAACTCCTTCATGCTGCGGTATGAGGTAGGGTGCTGCGGGGCCGTGTTAGTGCTATACGCACTAACCCTCATGCTCGGGGCATGTGATTGGTCTCGTGGCGCCACCAAAGTGTGCTTGTGTGACATGAATGTTGATTGAATGATGATGTGAATACCAAGTGGCTTGTGGTCCACTGGTATTGGATTGCTCCCCTATGTGGGAGGTCTAAATTTCGAGCCTCAGTGTAGGCATAGATTGTATGGGTATCCCCCTCTCTTTGTAATAAAATGATGATGTGAAGCATGATGAAGGATAGCCGGCATTGTTACATTTTCGTTCATAGGAGGGAAAAGGGTATGTTACGAGAGGGGTTATATGTGCACCGTTTTAATAATTGCGGGGCAACATTTACATCACTCATAATTTAGGGGTGACATTGATAATTGGCCTATTATAGAGGTGCATTTTTTACAATTTTCCCTTTTAAAAATGATGGAATAAATTGATTCGAGGTGCTTACGAATATTAGTTCGCAATAATAAAAAGGAAAAAATGGTAAGGGAAAAATATTGTTAATATTCCGTAGATCGATATTAGAATATTACAAAGGATGTTTTGTACTCCGTAATAGATTTGGACATGGTTATTTAGATCCAAGACAATGACAATTTATACAAGGAAAATGGTCCCAATAAATATCTAGAAACGTTACGGGCCACAAAACCAAGTCAAGGCCCATGTGTTGGGCCGTGTGACTAAGTCGCGACCCATCATTCCGCGCCCGAAGTAGGACTCAAGGTGCCCTCACTCTATATCAGGGTCACAGACTCTTCTCGGGCCCCAAGTCGTGGATTTGAGGTCCGAGAGCCAAAGCCCCGTCGACCCCAAGCACCCACGCTCCGCCAATCACCAAAGCCCTGTCGACCCCAGTCGCCTAAGTCAAACTGGACCGACGTGATGGCCCCGGGCCTCTATGCTCCATTACTCAATGAAGCCCTATCCACCTCTAGCACCTAAGTTGGGCTATAAAATATGTAAGCTAGCTTAAAGTATTGATTATATATGTAATTTTGTTATTTTTACTTTATTTGTTGCAAATTGTCTATTACAATTTTGCTATAAAAGGACTATATATAAGACTTAAATGTATTGATTTTATATGAAATTATGCTATATATGTTATTACTTTATTCTTGGCAAATTGTCTATTAATGTTTTGCTATAAAGTACTTGTTAAGCCTACATGTGGTTGACAGTTTCTATTTCTATATTATTTGTTCTAATTATTAAATGTATTCCTGTAGTTTAGCTCTTGTTATAACTTCCATTTCTATTTCCTCTCTTTGTACTCTATTTATAGTCTGTTGTGTTTATACATCAAATATACATTCAGTTTCTGCTATCTCCATATGGTATTAAAAGCCTAAATCTCCTATGAAAGATTTTTTCTTTCTTTCTTCTCTTTTATCAATGGCTTCTACTACTATTGCTAGCTCCTGCAAACTTCCCTATTAAACTCACTACCACAAATTTCCGAGTTTGGAGACGCCAAGTCCAATCTACATACACTTATTGGCTTTAATCTCCTTGGCTAATTGATGGTTCCACCAAGGAACCAACAAAGTTCCGATCCTGCTCAAACAATCACAACCCCAGGCCATTTAATTTGGTATCGCCAGGCCAAGGCCAAATTATTATTAGTGCACTTCTGGGGAGCTGTTCTGACACGATACAACCTCTCATCTCTTCAGTTACGACAACGCATGATGCCTTGCAGTGACCTGTAGCCACTTACGCTAGTGCCTCTCGAGGACAAATCATTTCCCTCAAGGCCAAGCTCACGAAAAACGTAAGAGATTCTCGGCCTCACTACTACACAGAAGGTCTTTAACGTCGGCTAAATAGAACCTTTAACGTCGGCTAAATACCGACGTTGTTCTTGGCGACGTTGTATATATTATATATAACGTCGACTATTTAAATAGCCGACGTTATATATATTTTTTAATTTAATTATTAAATATCTATAACGTCGGCAAATGCGAATTAGCCGACGTTGTAATGTTTTTTTTAAATACTATACAACGTCGGCTAATACGAATTAGGCGACGTTGTAAGGTTTTTATTTTTATTTTAAATATTATACAACGTCGACTAATACTAATTAGCCGACGTTGTAAAGTGTTTATTTATTTTTTTAATATATATACAACGTCGACTAATAATAAATAGCCGACGTTGTATGTTTTTTTTTGAATATACAGTTTATTTGTCCATTTATACCCAAAAACATGCTCAAATTACTCACAACCACATCCAAAACCTGCTCAATTATTGGACCACAACCACAGCAAAATATGTAGAATCTAATATTTATAATCGAACAAGTAATAAATCTCACAATTTGATACTAATTAATAATACAAGTTAAAATTATCAACCTAAGATCAATTAGTTTAATTTACATACTTAACCATACATCAACAAAGAAGTCGGCCCATACGTCTCTAACTTGATCAATTTTTTGTTGAGTGTAGCTCGATCCACCAACTCTCTCAACAATCTACAAAGTTGATAATTAATAAGTAATTAGTAAGCTAGCATTTATAAAATTAGAAAGAGAAAGGTATTATATTAAATTACATGCCTTATCCATTCCCACACATGCTTCTTTGAAAAGAATTTCAAGCATGTATTTCATCACATAATATCCACATGCCGTACTTCCAACTTGTTGAGCACACTACATTTGAATTAAATTACATTTAAAATTTTATTTAATAAAAAACAATAAAATATATGTAGTTTTACAAATGTATAAAATACTTACCAAAACTTTAATCCATTTTGGTGAACGAGTTGATCCATTGCTTCTCAACAACTTTGCTGAATTCACACACCTAAAATTATAAGAGATTAGTATACACAAATACTTTATGACATCATGCATACTTTATTAATAATAAATATTAATACTTATAAGTTCACATACGTTTCAACAATATTTTTGATGTCATCACGTGGCTGGCCTCCAATTGAATCAAACCAATAGATTTCATTAAGTTGATGACAAATTGCCATCAACATCCAATGGTCACTACAAATAAATAATGTATTAGTTGTAAGTAAATATAATATATAATAGAAGTATATTATATATAAGTTATTTTATTTGAAACAATTAAAACTTACTTTAAAATATATGGCGCTAGATAGCATTGTTTCTGTCCATTCCCTGTTCGTTCATCTATAGTATTCGAAGCTGGTTGAATATAATACGGATCTAAGAAGCCATATGTGGTCTTTGATGCCAATTCAAATTTGTCATAAAGACCCCTATTCAAAAATACAACCAATCATATATATTAGTAATATAATAGATGAAATGAAAAATATTATATAAACAAATAATAGTAAAGAACTTATTATTACATTATAAAGAACTGCAATATGGAAACATCTAACGTCTCAATCCTTAAGAAACGCATAATCTCCAACGGGTCAAGTTGTAAGGTATAGTCAACATCACCCACAATATCACGCCACATCTTTATCACAACATTTTCATCAAGTTTGCGAACAATTTTATATACCGTTAGACATCAAGAACTCAAAGAAGTCGGATCAGCTATAGTGAGATCAACATAAGGTCGTTGCACACCGGAATCATAAGTCATTTTTAACTGTTCAATATAAGTAACAATTACTATTTTTAAAAAGTAAATTAAATACTATTTTAAAATCCAAATATTTTGAAAATACATACCTCATCAACTTGGGTATACAACTCAACCAACTTCTTTGGCCAAATAATAAAGTTGTGCAGTGCATCCCTTAACAGTTGAACCTGGCTCAATGACATGAAGTCCATAGCTGATTATCTGGCATTGGCTCAATGTCTGGTGTCTAATGAGGATCTGATTGTCTACATATTAACTCAACTTGGGGAGGAATATAACTCCATTATATCTGCTATTTGTTGAAAAAAAAAAAACATAAATTGGCATAAAATGACATTTTAAGTAGCTATTTTGTGGTACAATTATCAGTGGGGTCTACTTCCGATTTGGGTCGGGTCAAAGTGAATTCGGGTTCTTCGTAGGTATATATTATTATAATATGGATAAATTACAATTTTGACCCTCCTCCTAATTTTTTTACACTTTCTGCTTCTACTCCTCTCTTAGCCTACTGTGTTCTAAGCTTTGCTATAGTTCATCGGGTTCAAATTTTGGGTGCTCAAACGTTGAACCATAGCACTTTTTATCCTGGAAAACCTAAGCTACAACGCTCCTAGCACTTGTGGGAGGTAGCAAATAAGGTTTTAAGTAAAAGAACAATTCGTCCAACTCGTGCTAACCTCTAACCGAATCATCTACCCTTTCCTTCCCAATTATTTGCCTTTCCATATAATAATAATCTTTTTGTAGGATTATTATTTTTGGGGTATACCAACAAGAAACTACCCAACACTATTCGCATTCGTATAACACCCATCTCTTTAGGAGAGTAAGCACATTTACTCATTGAGCATGAACGTCAGTTAAGGGATGTTGATGATGCAAGCCAGTCTCTATTGGCCATTGCCAATCTAACTCAACGAATCCCCCAGGAATAACCATCAGTCTAATTCCAATCGGAGGATCCGTAGTAGTAGTAATAATAATAATAATAAAAAAGAAATAAAAAATAATAATAATAACAATAATAATAATAATAATAATAATAATAATAATAATAATAATAATAACAATAATAACAATAATAATAATAATAATAATAATAATAATAATAATAATAATAATAATAATAATAATAATAATAATAATAATAATAATAATCCGCCACTAACCGACAAAATGGCAATAAGGGGGACACAATTGGTTCGGTGTTATATGCAAGTTTTGTAATTTTTTAGGTCATGAAACGAAGGTGTGACGTAAGTTGGCCATGTTTTTAAAGGAACATAATGTTCTCCACAAGAAGGCTTCTACTTCAATATCCTACAGCTAATTCCATGATCAGGGCATCTCAGCTAGGGGTGTAAACGAGCCGAGCCCGAACCTGGGTAGGCTCATGTTCGTGCTCGTTAATGATAGCACTGCTCGAGTTCGAGCTCGAGCTCGTGAACTAATGCTCGAGCTCGAGCTCGGCAATTGTCGAGCTGCTCGAGCTCGAACTCGAGCAGCTCGATTGTTCGAGTTCGAGCTTGAATTCGAGCTCGAGTTTAGGCTTGAATTTGAGCTCAATTTTGATCTCGAATTTGACCTGTTTGATTTAAAATTTAAACTACTTTGTTTTATGACTTTTATCCATACATAATTATTAAAGTATTTTAATTTCCCTCCCCTAATCATTATTTTTATATACTAAATATAATATAATTATATTATATATTATATATTATATAATATATTATAAGGCTCACGAACGGCTCGTCGAGCCGCGAGCCTACAATACCTAAGCTCGGCTCGTGCTCGTTTAATCCACGAGCTGGTCGAGCTCGAGCCGAGCTCGATTTTGACCGAGTTCGAGCCGAGCGTTGACCGAACCGCTCACAAGCGACTCGTGAGCGGCTCAGCTCATTTACACCCCTAATCTCAGCCCTGGTTATTTTCACACTATACCACCCCGAGTGTCACCCTCTACAGACCTTCTCTGAGTATAATGGTTTTGATGAAATTCGTATGGGTGACGGTAATTCATTATAAATATCTCAGGTTAGCCAGTCTATCATTCTTACTTCATGTTATGTTCTTACTCTAGAAAATGTCCTATGTGTCCCACAATTGCATAATAACTTAGTTTCCATATCCCAACTATGCAAAACTAATTGCGTGTCTGTTGAATTTTTTTATTCTCATTTTATTGTCAAGGATCTTTGAACGGGGATGTCACTACTGCGGGGAGCGAACATTAATAGTGTTTACTATGGACCTCCCTCTTCTCAACCCTCAATAAATAATGTTACGCACCTGTCACATGTGTCTCAGTTGCACCATCGGCTTGGTCATCCGTCTAATAAGGTATTGCAACGCTGTAATGTCCCAATAACTGTGTCGTCACTGCATCAGTTCTACTGTTCGTCTTGCAATGTACATGTGACGCCCCGTACTTTTCATTCAAAAAATTATATCCTGTAATTATTTCTCTAAGGGATTTAGTCTTCCAATTTAGCCTAATTATATTAAATAAATCACAAACTTATATAAATTCCATTAAAGGCCCAAATTCCTAAGAATTATTATTATTATATACCCTATTTCCTAAGACTAAACTATTCGTTGACCTTAGTATTATTTCCTACTTATATACATTTTGGGGTTGAATGAGGCCCAAAAACAAACCTAATGCCATGATATTTATTTCATGTTCTTATTTATCCTATATTGGGGTTTAGGAGTATTAGAAGACTAGGTTTATGATGAGTTACTAGGGTGATCTTGCTTGGGGACTAGAGTTGTTTGGCTACGTAAGAGGTAAACTCCATGTCCATCAAAACTTATTTTCCTTCCAATATGTGATGAATGTTCTTCTTGAAAATCCTGAACATATTCTTGGTGTTATTTCTTGATATGAGTCTGGTTCTTGTGTATTCTTGGTGTTTTTGTTGAGCTATGATGTCTATCATTGATTCCCCATGCTTTGTTGGTATTCTAGTGTTGTTGGAATAGAGTTCTTTATGTGTTTTAGCCTTTGTTGTTGATGAACTTGAGCTACTATTACATTAAACCTTGATGTCTGTTGTACACTGCTTCTGCTTCGTTTATTGACCGCACGGGTGGACCTCACAGGTGGGAAACCCCCATAAAGTTGGACCGCACGGTCTATGATAGCTAGGGGTGAGTGGTGGGGAGCTCATGCCTGCCACCCACATTTGTTTCCTTCTTGCGGGTAGCCGGCGGAATTCTCTCCCCGTGGCAATGGACCGTGAGGTCCTGAGCGAATTCCAGTGATCATTCCCTATTTGTTTAATGTATTATTGTTGGCCCGTGATAGGTGTATCTTGAGTTATTGTTGAGTATTGTGAACCTAGTGTCTTCACTATTCATTATCAATCGGTCTTAAATCCTAGTTCCTTGATATTGATTGAATTGGAGGATTTTATATATATATATATATATATATATATATATATATATATATATATATATATGTATATATATATATATATATATATGTATATATATATATATATAGTCCCGTTCTCGTGCGAATGGCGCATCCATGTGCGAATATGCGAACCAATCAGCATGCGCCACGTGTCCTGATCTAGGTGCACATATAGTAATAACTAGGTACACCTAAGTGAAAGTATGTACACTTGTAGGTAAAAGTAGGTGCACTTGATCAATGAATGTTAACAAGACAAAATTATTATTTTTTTTCGTATTTTTCTTATTTACTAAAAGTATAGTCCTGCTCTGTGTTTTTCGCTTCTGGTTTCTCCGATCAGGCCTGCTCTGTATAGGCCTGTTCTGCGGAGTTTGGTATCGGAGAAACGAGAAGCGAAAAACGCAGAGTAATTAGGAATGGTTCACTGTGCGAGATGACACTTTAGCCAATATTATATTCTATGGCAAAAGAAAACTAAAATTATTTAACTCTTTGAATTAGATAGGGCAAATCATACTATGGACTAGGGTCTATTTTGTAAGACTTTCCCGTATAATATATATTATATATTATGGGTCTTACTTATGTGGTGCAAGTGGACTAGGCCCATTAAGTAATTGGTTGGGTTGGACCTTTAGGTTTAAGTCTTATATCCACCAATGTGCCTATATAAAGCTTGTATTGATGGGATACAAGATACATGAATATTATATGGTACTCATACTACTCAGAAAATACCAGTACACCATCTAGGGTTCTGAGTCAAGTATGAGACAAAACGGCTAACCATATTCTGCAGATCTACCGTTCAAGAGGCAATACAAGGATATCAACTATGGCTGGAGATCTACAGTGTTTCCGCTTCCGCTACTACGAGTTAAGTTTCTCATAGATCATACTTTGTATATTTAAATCTCACATTTGGTATCAGAGCCTTTATCAATCTCTGCCTGGTTGATTGTTTTGCCTAAAAACAATATTAAGTTATTATATACATCAAGTTTTTTGTATATGTTTTGTATATTAATTCTTCAAAATATGCATTCAAAATATTTCTATTTGCTTATGATTTAAATAACATGTATGTATTTTGAAAGAATATGACGGTTGACAATAAGCAAGATTTTAATTTGCTATTATTGAAAACACCTTCTGCTAAGTATTTCTTTTCGCTGGATTTATTTATTTTTTTTTCCGGCAACTGCTGCTGGCGGCGAATTGATCTAACGCTACTACGACGGAGACAAGTGAAGGATTCTCCAAGCGCTCATCGGCCGGTTGTGGCGTTGCGATGAAGACGGCGGCGGTGGCTTGCTGTTGCTGTCTTGGTGTCACGCAAGGCCGGGGATTCTACTGCAAATTTCCCCTTGTTTCCGGTCGGGCGATCGGAGAAGCCGATGGAAGAGATCAGACGCGTAAGGCATTGAAGCTAGCTATTCTTGTCGCTGCTGTTTGGGCTTCGCGCTTGCCATATTTTCTTCTTCTTTCGGTTCTCACTGTGAGCTTCGTCGCTCGAACAAAGGCGTTGTTTTTTGGTGATGCGGAAGGAGTACTGCGTACTGGTACATTCCTTATTTTTTGCAATCTTCCTTTATTTAATTTTATACACATTAATTTTAGTAAATATAGGAAGATTGCATTAAGTTAAGTTTAACCGTGTATTAAAGTAATTAAAGTAATTACCATTATGGTTAATATTTATATTTATTTTACCATATAAGAATTTATTTTATTTAATATTATATATTAATTTTGGTAAATGGTAATAATTTAGTTTAATATTGCCATATTATGTTACCCTAATTAATATTATATTGTATATTATTTTGGCAAATGGACATGTATGGTAATTACTTGATTTTGAAATATTGATGCCCTTTAGTTTTCTTTTATTTTTGGCATTAAATTCATAATTAAATTATTATTCAATTTTGAGCAAATATTAAGTATTGAATTTGCTATGTGAATTTTAATTTAATATTGAGATGCATATTAAATTGCCTGAAGTATTGCAATTTATTTAGAATTTATGGGTTAGTATATATTAATATGTAAAAATTCAAGCATGCTATGTATATTCATAAATTATTTTATTATAATTATACATTCATAAAAGCATGCATTAAAGTTGGATTAACATATTATTAACTCATAGTCTGTATTAAATATCATTCAACTTTGGATCCTTAGGTCAATTTTGGACATTATGACCTATTAAGACAGCTTGTTTGGTTTCCCGTTTAATTTTAGGCATATTTTAGTCCTATATTTTACTTAGGACTTTAAAACCTATTTTGAACAAGCTATTTGGGACCTATATTGGGTCATTAAAGTTTGGATCCCACCATTATTGAGTGATATTTTAACAATAATTATAGCTATTTTATTTTGACTTATAACATGTTTATTATGGTAATAATATTAATTATTATGCAT